CTTTGCGTTGGTCGAGAAATAAAGTTGACTTCTGGACCAGATATGAGGTTTGACCAAAAATGAAAGTTGAAGAAAAGTTTGAGTATAACAAACTTTGTTAAAAGACCAAGTCATGATTTAGCTTTGAAATAGATCAAAACAGTGCTCAAAGTATAGAGAAAAAAGCTGAAATCAATCCGACCGTGTTTGCGAGTCAGATTTCACCGACATCGACGTTGACATTCCACGTTCTTCAAATTTTGCTAAGCAACTTGAGTTGGTCCAAAAATAAAAGTTCAAGGTTATGTTATGGAGAAGAGAATGCAACAAGTTGCACTAAGTTTGATCGAGTTTCGACCTCCGAAAGCGAGTTTCCGTGATCGCTGTTAACATATTGACACTATCATCTTGGAACTTAATTATCCGCTGTTACAAAGCTCAAATGGCGGGCACCTTAAATAAGAAACGTAGAGCATGTCGAGGTGAACAAACTTTGTTTTGGGCCCATGAACCAAATCAGCCCGTAGCTAGCCCAAACTCGCGCTCCACGCCGGCCACTCCGTCGCCCGCCAAGTGTTCGCGGAACGCCTCAAAGGACGCCGCGTGCTTCGCTCGTGGGCGACCATCGTGCGCGCTCCACGCCACACCATTGCCGAAGCCTTTGCCGCGCGTGGTCTGCCGCTCTGTCGCGCCCCTGCCCTCCAAAGCGGACGCCGAGCCTCCCCCTCCTCCTCCTCCCTCGCGCACGCGCCGCCTCCTCGCTCTTCTGCCGTGGGCGCCATGGCCATGGTCGCCATTGCCGCCGAAGCGAGGTTCGAGAGCCCCATTGCTTTCATGGCAGAAGCTGCGCCAAGCCATCATTGACCGCTCTTTGGCCAAGCTGAGGGCCCCGGCGCGGCCACGGCTCTCCGTCGCGCAAGCCGGCGGCCAGTCTCTCAAGTCTCGGCCTCTCGCTTTCGTCTTGATCATGGGTGAGTGAGCGCTCTCCGGCCGTGCTACCCAGCGCCACGCCAGCCACGCCTTGCTCCAGCTCCAGCCATCCCATCCCGAGAAGTCGCGGGCACCCACGGTGCACAAGGGGTGCCTCGTCCCCTGCCCGCCGCCCGGGAGCTTCACCGCCGCCCCACTTCTCAGTGCTGCGCTTGCCGCCTGCCGCAGCATGGCTCGCGTGGTCGGGTGACTCGGCCGCGCCGGCCGAGCCAAGCGGATCCCCAGGTGCGCACGACTTCCCTGGTGCTCCACCGCCACTTCCCGACGCCGGATGGCCCTAACGGCCGGAGCCGCGAACTCCGACGGCCTCCTCTGTTTTGATTCCCGTGGAGGACTTCGCGCTCGAATTCGAGAAAAGGGAGGGTTCCTTCTGCAAAGTCAGTGACTCAAAGGAATAGTGCCGATAAGGACTTATTTGCAGTAAATTTGCTGAATCTTTGGAAATTCATAGGAAATTCGTAAAATAGCAAATGAGGACTTTTTGGAATCCTTGTGAAATTCTCTATGCAATAGATCTATAATATTACCTGTTTTACTTTAAAGTTTTAGCTGTAAAAATATATTTATGCAGCTAGGTTTGTAATGCTAGTGGTATTTGTCTTTTTCATAACTGTAGATCTAGGGCTCCAAATGAAGTGAAATTTTTGTGGCATGCTAATCATGTGATAGTTGATGTGTGGTAAAAATTTCATGAGTATTGGATGAAGTATGAGTGAGTTATTGGTTTATCTTGCTCTCACATGATTTCTTGCTTTAGCAACTTGTCTTTTTCATAGAGGTTGCTATACATATTCAAATGGAGTGAAAGTTGGACAGTAGACTATTGAGAGGATATGTGAGCCACTGTAATTTTTGTAGAATTTATTGTATACTTTTGGTATATGTTCATTAAGTCACCTTGTTATCTAAAATAAATTAAGAAATGCATTAAAAGAATTTATTTGGTCATGGACCCTAGGTTTTCTGGTGTTCTTTAGTCATGTGTGACATGTTGGTAAAGTTGGTTTTGCCCAATTATGTGTTTGCAACATAAGTTAATAATTATTTTCTTGCCGATGTGGTTTATGGACAGATCTGAGAACTTAGCAAAGTTCTTCATGATAATGTGCTTTGTTGTGAAACTTGTGTATATAAAAGTTGTAGATAATTCATGTATCTAGCTACTGTTAAAATTTGGTGTCATTTGGCCAAGTAGTTTAAGAGTTACAACTGTTTAAAGTTAGAGTACAGGATTTGTTGCTCTCTGTTTTGTATGAATCAGTTTCTGTAAAGGTATAATTTCGACCTACTTAACTTGTGAATCATGCTATGATGGTTACAGATGAAATGTAGATAATTTCATAAGCTTTCCAAAATGTCTTCTTGCAAGTCATTTGGATTTGTGTAACTACAGTTATGCTTCTCTGAAGTTGCAATCAGTTTTATGTCCATGTCTGGACAGGTCTGAAACATCTACATGTTTGACCTGTTTAACGTTGTAAATAGCTTTTTATGTAAACATCAATCTTGTATACAATTTCTATGAATTTTCATAAAGTCTTAGATCATCCTTGTGGGATGGTTGTAGCTTAAGTTATGTTTGAAACAAGTGACTGTTTGCTGCTGTCCAAATCTGCTTGTATCTAGAATTGTTTGCTTCTACTTGCTCTTGTTTGTATGATTGCAAATGGTTATCTTGGACACCTAGAGTTAAGGTAGCATGCCTAAAATGTTTTGCTAAATTGTGAAGTACTTGATCATGTATAGCTAGCTGGTTGTATGACATGCTTATGTGTGTATAGTGTAACATATGCTTGTTTAGTATGCTTGTTGCATTCCTTCATGTGTATTCTTTATGTTCATGCATCTGCATCTATGCATCTCATCCTAGGTACGCTAGGTACAGCACGTGGACGTGGGCGCGATGATGTGGAGACAGACGATGGTGTATGGTGGACCTATCCCGAAGGAGGAAGGACTGGACAAGTGCTAGAACGGGAGATGCTCACTTAGCGAGTGTCGTCTACCTAACACTGACTTGTGTCGGATCCCAGGCAAGCCCCGGAGCATATTAAGCCTCCTAATTTCTAAAATGCGATTCTGATATTATTGTTACATATATATATTGTTGCATTAAGTTTAGGTGTTGGATGCAAACACTTGTTGCATTGGTTATCCAATCCTTGTCCGAGATATTGATACCACGAATCATATGTAGCTCAGGCTCGTGTAGTGCTTAGCCATGCTTAAACACGGTAGAAGTCAGGTGATTTCCTGTCACCTGCGAGATATAGGAAGATACATATGGCACGGTTGGCTATATTTGCTATCATGGAAAAGAACCAGATCTTAATTTGAAATGAAGACCGGACGGAGGCTTGCCGGTTTGCAAGTGACTCCGTGCTCGGTCGATTAAGGACTGGATCTTGGAGCCTTTCTGTTCATGTTGAACGCATGCCTCTCTCTTAGTTGGCCGTGTCCGATGACCGACCCATGAAGCCGAGTAGCTCACCTCGGGCGGGAGTCGATAAGTATAAAGTGCGCCTCGGAAGGGAGCCGTGAGGCGTGAGTCAAGGCAAGGTGATTTAAAAGTCCCGATCGTCTGGCGGAAGGGTAATCCCGAGAGTCTTTGTGTTGATCGAACCAGCTGAATTTGGTTCTGAGATGTTCCAAAGGTGACCCACGGCTACCCTTGCAAAGTATGCGGGGTGAGAGTTAGGAATACCCCCTCGCTGAGTTGTAATTGATTGAATCGTCGTCTCCCGGTTAGTGAGAACTTGACGGGCTTATCTCCAATGTAGATACACTTAATATCTTAATGGTTCGGAAATGATGATATGATGATGACAGCCTTATTATACCTGCTATGGTTATTATTGTTTGCTCCTAATAAGTGAGTGCTCTAGTACAGGTGCTAATCTAGTGGACAGGTAAGTAATGATAAGCTTGATAATAAGTTTAAATTGGTTACTATACTCATAAGCTCTTTTATGCAAATGTGTCAAGCTAGCCCACCTCATAAGCCTTGCATAACCCTTGGTGTCCTTTATTTTTGGTTTCCGACGGGTAAGTCTGGCTGAGTACATTCGAGTACTCAGGGTTTATCCCACCATGTTGCAGGTGAAGTTCTTGGCCTGTTGAAGATGATGGTTAACCGCCGGTGGCTCGGTGATTCTATAGTTACTTCTCATCTATATGCTTTTGTCGGATGATGTCACTTATGCTAGCAATGTATTTGGAACATATATTAATGTAATCTTTTGAAAGCTATGTTGTTTTCACTAATCGGTTTTGAAACCCAAACTTGTACTATTATTTGTGAATTCATTTGTAATATTATTTTCCGCTGCAACCCTGCGTATGTGATGTGTATTTGCTTAATCACGCGATCTTGGTTGTGATGTTGATTTACCGAGGTCTTTTGGGACACTTGGCGGACTACCGGGTTTATATGAGTGAAAGTATGTGTGTGTCAACGTGTTAGCGGGGACAACCGTACTTGATCTTGTATAAATTGGGCGGTTCTGTTACAGCTGATAATTAGGTTTAAAAAATTCGTCTCGTGAATTTTGTCTAAACTGTGTAATTAGTTTTATTTTTTATTTATATTTAATGCTTCATGCATACGTTAAATATTCGATGTGATGAAAAATCTTGAAATTTTTTGCAAAATCTTGAGAACTAAACAGCACCCAAGCTCCCATTTGCAGTAATTCCCAGTCTCGAGGTGCACAGGAACGCAGGCACAACACGAACACCCACGCCGCTGTGATGACTGCAGTGCATGCACCGGAACCGGAAGGAAACTTGGGCGATTCCCCCGACAGCTACGTGTCACCCGCGCGCGCCAATGGACGAGCCTGCCGGACCCCATCCCATTCCCAGCTCGGGCTGCCTGCCCATCCTCCCCTCCTCGATAAACTCCGTGGTCCGCACCGAGCCGACCCGGGCACAGGCACCGGCACGCTCGCACGCACGCACCACACCACGCTCTCCTCATGCACGGTGGAGCCTAGCACGGGCAGCTCCGCGGCGGCGACGACCACCACCACATGTTGCATGAGCAGCAGGCACCGCCATCACCGGCAGTAGCAGCGCCACCGCCCGTGCCCTCGGCACCGAGCCCGGCCAGCAACCACGACGACGACGATGTCGAGGTCACGACGTTCCGCGACATCCACCCTCTGACGCCCGACGTGCCGACGCCCCCCGCGCGCACCAGGTCCTGGGACACCGCCAGCCACCGCTCCTTCTCGTCCGAGGAGCAGTTCATGACGATGAGCCGCGAGTTCTCGGCCATGGTCGCCGTCGGGGCGACCATGCAGACCGGCGGCGGTGGCGCCAGCGGTGGGTACGACGGCGGCGCCGACCAGCTCACCAGCATCGGCGAGGACGAGCTGGAGGAGACCAACCCGCTGGCCATCGTCCCCGACAGCCACCCCATAGTCACGCCCGCCTGGTCCAGGGCGTCCGCCGCCGCCTCCGGGCTGGAGGTCGTGCCGGCGCCGACGCCGACGCCTCCGCCGCAGCCCGCGCACGTGGAGGCCAGCCAGGTGAAGAAGGAGGAGGTGGAGACCAAGGTGTCGGCGTGGCAGACGGCCGAGGTCGCCAAGATCAACAACCGCTTCAATGTGGAGGAGGTGGTCATCAACGGCTGGGAGACCGAGCAGGTGGAGAAGGCCTCCGCATGGCTCAAGAAGATCGAGGTACTCAAATTAAAGCAATCGCTCTCTTTAATTCATTTTTCTTCACTCAAACCATGGTTTCAAAGTTTGAAAAAGCAAATAGTAGATGCTGGCCCCGTTTGTTCCGCTGAAAAAAATAAATTGAAATATTATTCCGCTTGATTTGTTGCGAGAGATACTATTTCAGCTTAAAAATGGATTATAAGAGAAACGAACACACGCAGTCGATGATCTTTGCTGCCTAAATTGTGCGAATCTAAGTATGCTGCACACACTAGATGTTAACAGTTCTTTCATCAGGAGAAAAGGGATCCAAAAAAAAAAGAATAGAACATGGCAAGCACATGTGCTAAATCGCCAACCATGCTTATGGTCTTGCAGAAATCAATATGATTTCAAGCTGGTTATCGATGAAATTAGCTACCCTCTGTGTGATTTCTGATGGGCAAGCTGAAACAGAGGGGTCATATGTGTCTTCAGAGTAGCTCTAGATATTCAGTCCTGTTGCAGGAGAACAGTGGGTTCAATTTTCCTCTTGCCTCATGCCTGTTTCCAAAAAAAAAAAAACTCATTTTCTTCTTGCAAGTAATTTGTGCCAGGAAAGAAAAAACTAGCTTTAGTCAGGTTTCGTAAGTTTTATTTATTGTGCGTGCCCGATGATCATCCTGAGTTCCTGAGCACCCTATAAACAGCTGCATCGCGTGTTAATCTGCTCCTCCTCGACAGCTTGACTGTTTCAGTTTGGACAGGGCGACTGTCTTTTTGACTGGATATATTCCTTGATTCCTTTGCGCAGAGGAAATTGGACGAGCAGCGCGCCAAGGCGGTGGAGAAGACGCAGAACGACATCGCCAAGGCGCGGCGCAAGGCGGAGGAGAAGCGGGCGACGGCGGAGGCCAAGCGGGGCCTGAAATTGGCCAAGGTGTTGGAGCTCGCCAACTTCATGAAGGCCGTCGGCAGGGTGCCCACCAAGCGCTCCTTCTTCTAGCCGATCCACTGTTGCTGCCTACGGCTACGACCATAGCTAGCTCTCTCTGTCTCCCTGCGTGATCGATGTACGCTCGCTGCTGCATCCGAGAACCTAACTGTAAAAAAAAAAAATTGTAAGCTGTATACGTACGTACTGTCTGGTTCCCTGTGATGCCCATGATCCATCACAGGGTGGCCGTTCTTCTCCCTCTTTTTTCCCTGGCTTGTACTATATTATCGATCCATATGGTGGTGCTTGAACGAACTGTTTGCTTAACCCTGCAAACATACTGCATTCAGAACCCAACACTGCAACTAAAAGAGCTGTTTGTTACTTGGGCCACATCACATCACTGCAGTGCCTGGAGTTCTTTTTTTTTTCTTGCGGTTTTTGCTTCTGCTGTCTGCCTATTATGGCACTGCACATGATCAGAAGCTAGTGTCCATGTCTGTTATCTTCAGGAACGACGACCATACATACCTACAGTAGGAGTACACCATACACCGCATTGGCAGCAGTCGCATCGCGACTGATGAAGAAGGAAGAACGGCATGGCGACTTGAGGAAAGGACCGCGACCCATCGCCCTGCTCGGCACGTCGGTCGGTCGCTTCATGCCCTCGAGCGATTTGCCCTTTTCCTCATGACAAGGCCACCTCGATTTGGATTTTGGGGCCATGAAATTCTCTTTTTGAAGAGGCCACCTCGCTAGGATCGTGAGAGGGACGGGGCGACTGAGATGGGTTGCCGCGCCGCGTCGACCGGGGGAATCGACCGCCGGGCATCTTTCGTGGCTGTAACGTCGGCAACGGCGAGATGCCCGGCCGCGCGTCTCGCTGGCGCTCGCCGTTATCCAGGCCGAAAGGATGGAGACGGCCACTTCATCAGGGTTGTGAATTTTGACGAACGAACGAAGACAGATTCCTGGCTGGTCAAAGTCTCGAGATGATGTCGCATGCAGAAACTGAAACTGCTGGTTACATAGAACATCGCAAGTTCAGAGTTACGTCGCGACAACGGGCGAAACTTTGTAGGTTTTCACGCACAGTGACCAGACCGCTCAAGAATCAGAGATGAACTAGTATCTATCTATTGGCTATTGGAAGGCCGACATCTAGAAAAATTGGTCCAGTCGGTGATCTAAAACTAGTGGGCAATTCAGCAGCCGAAAGCTGCAGTCGGCCCACCCAGTGCCAATAGGCCTACCGGTCCTAGGGTAGCCAACGTTTCCAAATGCACCATTTATTTTTATGTTTTATCTTTTTGTGATCTCAAATAAAATACCTGAACATCTTAAGAAATATTGTAATTTTTTATGTAGATACTAAAAATCAAACACAACCAATTTTGTTTGGGTCTAGCATCATTGCTTTTATAGTTTTCAAATTAAAATTCTTTCCTTAATTATATATCTGAGTTTTTTCGTAAGTTGTTTATAGCCCTGAAATGGTCTCCACAAATTCAAAAAAAAATCCTCTAAAATAGTGGTTCAGAGAGTAGTACTTTGTCATATTCTATATATATGCTTAGGTAAAATCCAAAGTTTCTTAATAAATCACATGTTCAATTATAGGTATACCTGCTCACATGAATATTTAATTTCAAAGTAGGCCATTATCTATTGGTACGATAAGGTCACGTGCAAACATGAACACTGCATTTTCACTCCACTAATTAAATTAGAAGTAGTATTTGATTGTGAACTGAGATAGCTCAGTTGGTTAGGTTCATTATGGTCGAACCTGTCCATCGGGGTTAAGTCCTAGACTTGACACGGATATTCGTACTTTCCTATATTTATTTCAGGATTTAACGGTATTGTGATTTCAGTGGTAGACGCTAGATTTATTTTAGGATTTTATGGCAGTGCTTGTAGGGGTAGCGTTTGTGTACATAGGGCGTTGCGTTTTCAGTTGTAGCGCTGGATTTATTCCAGTGTTACCTGATACTCTCCGTAAAAAAATACAACTATGAATTGCGTGCAATTTAACGATACTTATTTTGTCTCCTCATCGTTAGTTTATTTTTATATAATTTTAGTAAAACTTCAAATTGTTTGATTGTTCAAAAAATGTGATTGTATTTTCTCTTTTGATGGACGGAGGGAGGAGATATGAAAAATAAGAAATGTAAGCAACTTGTTTGTCCGTTTGTTCTCTGTAGGCAACCATGGTGCCCCAACCTGAAACGCATACGCCCTCGACCTCGGTGCTGAGATCAGGACCACGGTAGCCATGCGAAATATATATATAAAAAAGGAAAAGGACATGTCCAATCCAGCAGCAGGCGCTGGTTCCGGTGAAAAAAAATAAACAAGCACGTCCATCAGGCTATCGGCGTTTGGACGTCCGACTTGATTATGGCCCCGTTCGCTTGTCGAAAAAAGAAGCCAAAACACTGTAGCGACTGGTTTTGTGAGAGAGAAATACTGTAGCGGCTGAAAAATGCACTGTAGCACGTGAGGGGAACAAGCCGAACGCGCCCTATATTGGCAATTGCCTGGCCAACAGGCCTGTCGGCAATATAGTCCATGTGCATAGGACATGGGACAGATGGCACCACTTGTTAGCAGTTGAACTGCCGATAGAATACTAGTTTTGTAATTTTTTTAAAACAACATCTAGATCTGCAATTATTTATTAGAATAATATTATTTCAAAAAAAATTCAGCGAGTACTGAGTACGGGCCTCTGAAATCTCAAAGCAAATTTACTTTCCACACACATCCGCAAAAACAGAGCGAATTAGCGCGCACGTCAAAAGCCCGAATAAAAGGTGCATCTTCTGTTGTAAATAGAAAGGTTCGGACGTTCGGTCGATGGCAGCGCGGCTTCAGGTTAGATAGAGGATGGATGAAAAAACAGAACTGTTCGTGCCCGGACGTCTGATCTGGGCGCTAGCGTCCGGACGCCCCTCAGTGCTCGACCACCCTCGTTCACTTTTCAGTCCGCACTCCCCTAGTGCACGTCCTTTTCTAGTTCCACACGCCTCTTTCTAGTCCGCACGCCCCCAGCACGCCTCTCGGCCCAGTCCGCCTGCCCCCAGATTGCCCCATAGCCTGTCGCGTCCGCCCCACGCCCGCGACGAGCATGCTACATGCCCAACGCCCTCCATGGCCACAGCACCCGCGTCCGTCGGCCCAAGCACCTCCGCTCGCTAGGCCCCGGCGAACCATGCGCCCCCATCCGCCCGGCTCGCCCCTCCCTGACCGAACACCATAGAAAGCTGGAATAAAACACGTGCAATAACGCGAAACAACTACTGCAACATTACGCTGAAACAGCTGAAACACCATGAACATATTATTGCAATAACACGGAACAACTGCTGCAACATTAGGCTGAAGCAGTTGAAACGCTATGAATATATTATTGCAACATCACGGAACAACTGCTGCAACATTAGGCTGAAAGCATATGAAACAACGCTCGAATAAAAACACTTGCAACAACATGGAACAACTACTGCAACATGATACTGAAGCAACTGAAATATTTCGAAAGTATTGTTGCAACATTTGTTCGAAGTATATGAAACATCCAGATCAGAACGATTGCAACATCGTTTAGAAACAAGTGAAACATTTTGAAACAGTGCTTGCAACAAAATCTTTGAAAACTCGTTGAAACATGGGCAAAACATTCCCCAGATCTACTTGTACAACATCCTTACGATTCAACTGTAATATACCTCTGAAGCGTCTAAAACAACTGAAAGATACAATTGTAACATATAGGGGGGAGCCCTGCATAGGGAGCGCCATGGCCGCCAGATCTGAGGACGTCGGGAGCTCCATGTGGGGGAGGACGCCGGTGTCGGGGAGGGGTGCCGTCGGGGTGGGGAAGGAGACGTCGGTGTAGGAGAAGGAGCCGACGTGGTGGGGGAGGACGCCGGTGTCGGGGATGGGCGCCACCGGGGTGGGGGAGGAGGACGCCGCTGTCGGCGGCCAAGGAGGGAGAAAGGTGTGTGGAGGACGGGCGAAAAGAGCGGGGAGGGAGCGGACCGCCGGCTCATGACATTTGTGGAGCTGCTTGATCGGGCGCGCTGACCCTCTGGATCCATGGGGAGAGAGAGGAGGCAATGACAATGAACGTGTGGACGGTGTGAAATGAGCTGTAGTGCAAGCGGATAAGGTCATGAGAGACAAGTGGATGAGTACTGGTGCCGCCGTATCAATAGTTATCTGTCCGGAACCGTCGGTGTTAGAGCCATAGCATTACCGATGATTTTTTTTTCATCAGCTGTGCTGGCGATGAAGCGTAGAGACAATCGGGTCATCTTTTTCGGGCCGCATGGACGGAGGGAGAAGCGAATGAGGCCGAGCACTGGCGCCTGTTCACTGGAGCGATCTGGAATCGTGGTTGAGGTTGAGTGAGCTCGAATGCTCAGAGCTAACTTCCTTGGCGGGGCTGGTACAACGAAGTAAAAACTCTGTTGTGCTCTTGATAGTTTGGGAGATTTGGAGTTGGGAGGAGAGAAACAACAGAGTTTTTTTGCACGGACTGAAAGCGGCTCAGAGTGTTAGAATATCTAGTTACTCATGTGAACACTCTACCGGTTAGGCCCTTTCCGTGTGAATGCGGCCTTTGGTCAGGCCCTTTGGGCCCCTATATTTGTAATCCCTTTGGAACCTCAATCAAGTATGCTAAGCCTGTTGGCTTAACCTTCTATCATGGTATCACGCGACTAATTGGTCACTGCTGCTTCTCTCTCCACCCAATCCCTCGCTTCGCTCCTTTCCGGCGCGCGCGTCCGCCTCTTGACGCCGCGCGCCCTTGACGACGCGCGCCTTGGCGCCGACGCCACTGCGGCGCGTTGCGTCTCGTCAGCCGCCGCGCCATGGTGCTCCTCCATCCGGTGAATCCAGCTCCGACGCCTCGACTGCCGCCGCCGCGGCCAAACTTCACGACGAAGCCATCGCCGCCGCCAAGAACCTAGAAGACGAGGCCGCCTCTCTGCGCACCTCCAACGCCGAGCGCAGTCAGCAACTCCAGGAGGAGGCGGACCTTCTCAAGTCCG